GTTGAAAACTAGATGGCGGTGGGTGCTTGATAGTTTTTTCTACCAAAAATGTTTCCGTCTATCTGGGCCTCCAGCAGCAAAGTTCTTGGAAGCCACAAGGGCTTTTCGAACCTCATCCGGGGTTATCGGGTTGTGCACTTCATTGATCTCAGGCTGTCAAAGCTCTTTGCTGAAAGCTTCAAACTGTGCTAGAGCTATATTCCATCACACTTCGGATACGAGATGCATGTCGTCTCATCAAGTGGGAATAGCCTACTTGTTCAATCTCCCTAACCGCAAGGGCAGGGTTTAGTCCTTTCGATTCAGGAAGTGACTGGACGATGCTGTACACGGCGGTGTTGATTCGCCAGATGTCAGTCACTTCTATTAGAACACTCTGCATCCAAATAAGCTAGTTCTTTTGGCCTCAGGGGCATTAGTCTGCGTGTTCTGATTATCTCCATTGGTGGCATGATGCGAGTCTACTCTCCAGCCGTACCAACGGGTGGCAGAACTGTCACATCTACCACTTCATTAGCAGGCTGAGATGAAACTATATAGCCCTGCCGCCGAAGATTGGATACGTAATACCTAAGGTTTTAGGCCGAAATAGCGACATGCTCCGGAGGTGTTTCACACCACAGAGCTATTCTCGTAGCAATGCATAAACCTATGTCTAAGCTCATGCGTCCACTCTAGCGTCCGTTGTCATTGCCAGGGTTGTCATCGGTAGGCAAATCATAGTTATGGGCCCTGACTCCTCCGAGCAGGTCGATTGTGGGGGCCCCTTTCTCGACTACCAGGAACCAAGTTTTGAGTCTTTCTAGTGGTTAGCCCTGTAGACCTACGGCCGGCACCGGAGGGAAGATAGTGTTCTCTCTCCCGGGTGCGCCAGGGCTGCCGATCCTGTTTTGCACCAGTTGCCGCAACACACCAAAGGTCTACGGTGTTAGAGGCTCCCTTGCTTATTATTATTATCAAACGCAAAAAAATAAGGAGTTTCCTTCTGAAAGTGCCTCGTCTGTTTTTTGAGACACCCTGTATATCTACTTTACCTCTGAACTCGTAGAACATTCATAAATGATTTATGTATACTGGTCCTAATAGATTACTAATCTGAATGGACTTTAACTCAATTTCCGAGCAACCTGTTTAAAAGTTTTATTACGTTACTGTAACGTTCGTCGCATGAAGGTTGTGTGTAGATCGGCTCGTCGAACTCGAAAATGGAGGCTGACTCAAGTAGTTCGACTTTTCGGCAAGTACCCTCGACAATCTTATCTAGCTCTGAAAGCGACGAGGTGAGTTTTTTTGACAATATTCACTAATGACAGTAAAATTGCAAAATCATCATCTCTGAACATTGACCTTTGAATACTGACTAGTTTGATAGTAAGTTTTCCCAAAGTATATTCCTGACAGCTCCCATCATTTCCAAGACGTTGGAAAAAGAAATGTTTGGGAATTACGAAATAAGCTACGAGGATTGTGATGAAACAGTGTTGGTCAAACTAAACGAACTATCTTTGCTCGCTACAAGGAACATGTTTCGCATGTTTGGTTCCATAGACCGGAGAAATCTAGTATCGCTCGACATGTTACAGATGGAATACGACCATAGAATAAGTGGTTAATGTTGAAAATTGTTGAGTTGAGACCAGTACATGACAACAGGTTTCTGGATGCCTTTGAACGCTTGGACAAAGGTCCTATTTCGAATAGCCCTTTGTTTGGTCTTATACGTAATAATTCTAAAAAAAAACAGATGAATATCAAAGATAATCACTAACAAAGAGGAAATACATAATAAATTATAGAGGTATTAAAGAAAGGTGGTTTGGCATAGGATCAATAACAGGTAGCATATAAAAACACTAACATAGTATTATAATTTAGTCATAATGATCTTCTGAGGACGGTCAAGAGACCGTAATTTTTGTTCTGGTGTTGGAAAAGTATTTTCAATAGACTGACTAGTTATCGGTTCTGTTCAAAAATGTCATTTTGAAATATCTGAATGTTATTAATTAGGAAAGATGGCGTTTCACGCATTCGCTTTAAAGTAGATCAATAGATCAAATTAACCTATGTATGTGAAAATGAAAACAATACGGAGTCATCTGAAATTATATGAACGGATTTTGAAAATGTAGTTGAAGAGAGGTTCTCAGGTTGGAAATGATCATATTATTCAAAGATAATAATAATAATGTAGAGTCATCAGGAGGTCGAATACCCTTCTCTGTATGGTCTGCGACCATGAGAGACAGGAATTGGGACATTTCTCCTTAGAGCTGCTTGACGAGCAGCTGAACTCCGTTCGACAATGTTTTCGACATTGAACAAAGTGATCACAATTCTGTCACCGAGTTGCAGCCCGTTCAGCAAAAGTTCATATGAAAGCCACAGAAATCACTTGACTCCGGTAGCAACACAAGGATAAGCCAATGCATGAGGTATTCTTTAACAACATCGAAGACTTTGGCTTATCAAAGAGCCTGATCTTCGCTTTCCTCAGGTCGAGTGTTAGTGTTTTTAATTCGAATATATTTCTCAGAAGTCTGAACTCATAAAGACATTTTCTTAATTTTTTTGTTAATTCAAGTGAATGTTTTTTCCACTTCAGGCAACAATCTATATAAATTCCTAAATATTTTATTTGTGGGGTTCTTTTTAAGTTGAGAGTGCAATTGCATTTTTGAAAATGTTTGTGTAAACATTTCGAACTATGAATTTCGTATTTTTCACTATATGAAAATGTCATTGATTCAGTTTTCGTGATATTGAGTGTGAGCAAGTCATAACTCAAGTTATGTTTCAAAAATGGTTGTTTAGGTGCCAGAAGTTCTGGCACACACAGCGAAATTGCCAAACAGTTCCGGCCTGTGTCAGATGTGCCGGAAGGCACCTAACAAAAGAGTGCTAAAGGCCAAAAAACTCGCCCCTACGTTATTTCAACTGCAAGGGCCTATAAAAGGGCCTCAGATAGGCCAAACGACAGCCGGCAGCCCCAAAACCCCAGGCACCCTGAACAGAATACAGTCAGACACGGTGTTTCGTACGCGAGAGCCGCGACATCATCAGAGAACGCCTGTAACTCTCCCAAAGGTCTCCCAGCGGCTCTAGGGCAATTACAGACGCTTCTAGTGAAATTTCCGGTGCTGCAATCCATGCTTGCCGGAAGATGAAGAACAAAGTACACAGCCTAAACGGCAAAAAACGACAACAGAAGTCAGCTGCAACTTCTGCACACAGGGCAAAGCCCAAGAAGACGACAGAGGCTAGCCTCTGCCGCCCTAAGAAATTAAAAAACTCACACATGAAAAGGCATATTCAGCCCAAAGGATCAGGGGTCTAGTACCCAAATATCTGACTGACAAAAGGCAACGAACTGTTACATGGTTGTTCTGATTATCGGAGTCCTTGGTGGAATGAGGTCCTCTCTACTCTCGAATTGAAGATCATGCCGGCATGTCGCACGATGGCAGAAATTTCAGTCGAATTCGGAGAACAAGTGGTTTTATCTATCGGTTGAGTTAAAAAAAGTTTTAGGTCAAGTGGTACTTGAAAGACTATTTCCTAATATATTCTCAGGTGAGTATATCGATATGAGAATGGAACGTGAATTGAATTGATGGATAAAAAAGATCCTCATGAAAAATGAGAATGGAAACTTGCTATGTTGTTTATCACTTTTATTTGTTTGTTTGAAGTGGTTGACAATGTTTCCTGGTTGATTTCATTAGTTCGGACTTCCATTGTCTAATATATATAAATTGATTTGAAATCCCTGAAAGAAGCTGAAAAAATTTGAAAAGATTAGCTGAAAAATTAACAACTATATCAAGCAAAAAACTGTAATTACAATAAAATAAAATACAAGCAACAACCAAAAATCAGAAAGTTGAACTATTAGCACGAGATGAAAATTAAAAAATGTGTTAACAAAAAATGAAAATTATAAATTAAAAGATTCCAATCCAAGTTAGTTCACGACGTTTCGATTGTTAGTATCCACAATCGTCTTCGGGTCATACCAGTTTGTACATAGAGAAGTCATAGACGGAGGCTGAAGTGGAGCTCTTTTGACTGGGGAGCCATCACCAACAGGGAACGCCCTCATTGTCCAATCGTGGGACTGTGTAGTGCCGTGTCTTTTGTTGTCGTCCTAGGCTCAACATTACAGTTCTCCTCCTCACATTTCCCCCTTCCTCCCATACCTATCCTTTTGTCTCTCCTCCACATACTCCCACAAGTAGGAGAGGAAAATCTGTATACAAAATGTGAATAGATTTTCATCGATTGTATACTCACAAGACAAATGCACTGATGAACCCACCTGTCCTTAAAAGACAAGCTGAGTAAGTGTGGTCAAGCAGATAGTTGTTGGTTCACAGATGGACCAAAAACAACTTCCAGTTCTGGTGCAGGAGTTTTCAGTCGCAAACCCAGGACAGAGACATCTACCTGGCTAGGAGGCTATGCGACTGTATTTCAAGCGAAAATTTACTCTATTGAATTGTGTGCGGAGAGATTGGAAGAATCCAGTCTCATACACAAGTCAACAAGAATATTATTGGACAGTCAAGCGGCGTTGTAAGCTCTCCTACCGAGCAACGTCTAAATTGGTAGCAAATTGCCAAAAACGACTCTCCTCGATAGGAATACTTAACAGATTGTCTCTGGTCTGGATTCCTGGCCATACTGGCCTGGAAGGCAATGAAGCTGCTGACTCTCTTGTAGAGGAGGGTGCTGAAAGCGGCTTCGTCGGACCAGAACCTGTCGCTTTGGGCTTTGCCAAAAAAACATTGAACACCTGGATGGCAAGAGGATTTATGGACTTCTGGCATAATCTTCCAGGATTGGCCCACTCCAAGGCGTTTATTCACCCTTCGAAGCTTGATACCAAACTGTTGTTGGAGTACAGTAGGGATGAACTACGATGTCTAACAGACCTGTCATTTGTCATTGTCATTTGAATCATAATATGCAGACACTCGGACTGTCGGAAGACTGTGTGTGCCTCTGTTTGGAAAATGATGAAACAGCAGAGCACATACTTTGTGCCTGCCCCGCTGGGGAAGGAATCAGGTACGGCAGGGCTGTACTCTTATCATCTGATCTGAAAGACAACTCGCTATACAAACTAATCGGCTTCGTTAAGAAGCTAGGTTTATTTGGTGGCATGTGAATAGGGGTGAGCCACAATTAACCCATGCAGATTGCGGTGAATGGTCAAATAGACCCACTCACTTTGGACCTAACCCTAACCTAACCTAACCTAACCTAACCTAAGTGAGGTCGATGACATTTCCCCTCACGAAAACGCCATCTAGGGAAGAAATTCTTCAACGACATCTTATTATCAGTAAAGCACATGAAGATAATAATAGACATTAAGCATTTAGCAACAATGGGTTATCAGACGTAAAAAATCAGGCGAGAGAAATACTTTCTTGCATTTTGGGTCAGTACACATCTGCGGTTAGTTCGAATCGAATGATTTCGAGTGTTTAAGTTTGTTTATTTGCTTTCCGTGAAAGTGAAGACCTTTCTCCTGCGATCTCCATTTGATTTGAAGTAGAAATAAAACAATACTGCGCATTATTACAAGGAGATGTTTATGAAAATGAAAATAATGAATGGTACATCATTCATATGCTATTAGACGTTTATTAAGTTCAAAGCCAAGGTCTGGCTTCTTACAAATACCGCAAAACACAAAAAGAGAAATTCACCATTCTTATACACTCGTAATGCGTGACCATTTCGTAAACACTTCGTAATCATTTGGATGTTGTCTGTGGTATAACTCGGAGCATAGACAAAATGTTTTCGGTATGAGGGTCCAGAACGTGATTTTGTGTAGTGACTGCGCTTCTTGAAATCCATTTTTTGGACTTGTACTTCTGGTAATTGTTTTTCTATCAGGGGTAAGTCATTCATGCCACATTTCTTGTTCGAATTCACTTACTTCTTCCTTTAATATTTATATAATACCTCATATGTTAGTTTCTTAATATCGTTCAGTTGTAAAAAAGTGATAGCCATGAAATGAAACAAGCGAAAGTACGTATTCTTCAAGTTAACACACAACTATATTTTCACCATTCTCCGACTGAAAGATATAAACATATTAATCAATATTTTCATTCCCAAATCAAATATTATCTAATGATGACTTTTTTTATGAAAGTAGTCATAATGTGTATTGCTCCCTGATGATTTTTTTTCAAAATTTCGTTTCATTATAATATTCGAATTCAGAAAACTTTTGGAGCATGGATAGAATCATTTATAT